TCTCTCTCTCTCTCTCTCTCTCTCTCTCTCTCTCTCTCTCTCTCTCTCACAATGGATGTTGAATTTGTGGAGACAGGGTGTCATGCCAGTACCCAGGCTACAACATGATGTTCAAGGTCCATGAGAACAGCCGATACCCGGACTCCTTGGCCCTTGTCATTTGGTACCAAGCCGGCCAATACGACATCACTGCTGTCGAATTGTGGCAGGTTTGCTCTTTCCCTCTCCCTCTCATTCTCTCTCTCTCTCATATGATTTCTTGAATGCAGTTTCTTAGTAGTTTGTGAGGATTTGTTGAATTGAATGAAATGCTTGTTTGAAGGAGGATTGCAAGGAATGGAGGGGAATGAGGAGGGCGTATGGGGCAGTGTGGGACATGCCCAACCCACCAAACGCAGGGGCTGGCCTTAACCTTCGGTTCAGAGTCTCCGGTGGCGTCGAGGGAGAGAAATGGGTCGTCCTGCCCAATGCCATTCCTACCAATTGGAAGGCAGGAGCCGTCTATGACTCCACCATACAGCTTTCTTAAGCTACTATCTATCTCTAGGCAGTTCTATTAGAACCTCTCTCTCTCTAGGAAGGGGTCTCCATCACTCCTCACTTTACTCTTAGAATCTCTCTCTACAACTCTAGAATACATTCCAGGGGCCCTATAGGCTTGGCATGGCTTTGCTCTCATGCACTATATGTTAGTGTGTGTAATATTTGTTGCCTTTCTTTAATTTGTTGCGATGTCATGTTCTTTATGTAACCTTAACATCATGTATCATCAGTAGTGCGCAATAAGGCCACAGGCCACCGTTTAGGAGTGTAAACTGCATCTGTTGAGACTGTAAACAGTATTTGTCAAGATACTAGAAATAAATAATTTGAGATTGCTTTAATAGTAATGCCTTTTTCCCTTTTGCAATTGTGTGTGCCATTTTCTCTGCTAAGAAAAGACAAAGGAGCAGCAGTTGGAAACAACAAAAAAAAAAAAAAGACTTTCCTTTATTAAGGGAAAGGGTAATAATGCATGTACATAAGCCACCTTTCACTAGAAAAAGGATTAGAAATTAAGTAAGAAAGAGCAAAAAGAGAAGTCTCTTACGTCATTTAGGAGTAGAAACAGCCCACAGCTTGGCCCGCCACCATTCATGAGTGCCTCCGTTTGTAGCCTCGATTATTAACAAAATGCCCCCAAAAATTCAGTAAGTCCTGCACCAAAAGAGACCTTTCTTTCCCCATATATAAACAACTCCCTTCCTCTTGGAGTTGTTAACTCTTCCAAATGGGGCAGCAAGCATTAAGAAAAAACGCTACCCTGTTATGAGCAATAAACCATAAAACAACTCTTCCTCTTTAGCCCTTACGTAACTTGTAAAAAGGAGGATTCAGTGCCTAATTATAGAGAGCTTCATGATATCCTAGAAATAGGCCAATGTCTTACTTGATAGAGGCTGATACAAAGAAGCACAGTATGTGCTTTTTTGCATTCATCCCAGTGTGCTAAGCCAAGACAACCCCAATAGAGAATATAACACCATTTGCAGAGAACTCAACTATTTCCTCCTAATGGCTTAGGGTTTCACCAATAATGATGATGCATGTATTCAGATCATCCAGACACCTAATATTGATATTCTATTCTGAGGGTGGCAACACACATGTATATTATCTTCGAGATGCAGAATAAGTGCATCTTTCCATTCACCCCCTGGTTGGGTAAGCACCACCAGACTTTTAAAACTTGCACCGGATCAACTACGTTAATTATCACTAAGAAGCACAACATGTGCATTTCTCTGTTCACCTTGGTGGGTTAAGCAAGACTACTCTTTAAAATCGTGCACTGGACCATTCAATTCAACTGTCTGGACTACGGCAAATGGTCCGAGTCCTTGAGAAGTCTAACTATTGAAGAAAATGGATGAGTTATATCTGTTGTTTTAGATAGGTTTAACTAAAATTAGCCTGTAAAAGGTTACATAAGAACTTTATTTATCGATTCTAAATATCATGTTACTGTTTTAGGGTGTGGTTTCTATAAGGTTACAACCTTAAACAATCCAATTAAGACGCACCTCCCAATTTTATCATAACATATAATTTTGGTGCAAAAAATTATTAGGATTATCTGAAAATTTATTTTTATATCTAATTATAAAATTTTAAACTCTAAAAATGGTTAAAATCAAAGAGATCTATAAACATATGGAAATCTTGAAAATAGGCGGTCTAGATATTGTGTTGCAAGATACACTATCTTGAGGACTCGATATTTTCTTTCTTCATATTCATACATCTTGATGTCGAGATGATCAATTAGAGAGTTTCTCAATATTAAAACAACTTTTTCCAATGCATTTTTGAAGTGCATTTGTAATTCTACATTTTAACGTTAAAACCTTATATAAACTTTTTCCTTTCTTTTAAATATTCTTGTTAAAATTTGCCTTCCTTAGTGGCATACTTCTTTGACAATTTCCAGTTGCATGCTTACTCAGAAATAGCCAGTAGAGTATTTTTAAACCATATAATAGATAGAATCATTGGAATCATATCTTTGCTTTCAATACCCTTTTAACTGAAAGTAGCCCTAGGGAAATACTTACATGAAATTTGTTTTTATGTGATATTACTAAATTCTTTAATGAACTAAACACAGCTTTAAATGCTATGGTCATAAAATTAAGGAAAAAAAAATTAAAAATGGAGATTTTTACTTAAAATTCTCCTTGAGAATAACATTTTTTTCCAAGAAACAACGCATCAACTTGTTTAAGAACACTTTTCATTTCCTTTTGATGATTTTAAATATTTTTTTCCTATTTTTCTTTATTTTGCATAACTGGTTTGATGACAGGTCCACTTTTGAATATTCAACAAGACTACCCTTCTTTAAGGCAACATCATGTTACAATTGGGGGTATTCTTGTCACCCATGATGTATTTGGAACATCAAAGCACTATCCGAGAGTTCTGAAATTTGTGAGCTTTCGATCTTAACAATGGAAAATGTTATTTTATTTCATTATTTGGGTGTATGCCTATCCCTCTTTTTATAGTTGTAGTTATTAAAAATATTCAAAACATATACTAAAATTCCTCTCTAATATTGGTTGCCACAAAGATCAGAAATATTTAAGACATACAGCCTTGCGTTTTGAGAAATGATAATTTCACAAGACAAACCCTTTCAAAGTTTTGTAATAGCTAGAGTTTTCTCTTTATGCTTTTTAGGTGAACAGTTTGAAACAACATATGAGCACAAGTTCATTGACTTCTTCATTTCAGAAAATTTCATTTTGTGATGCATCGGTAACTCTTTGATTTTCTTATCTCTTTCTATTACAAGTAAAATATCCTTCATTGAGATGAATATGGAAGTTTTATCTACGACCATTTCGTTAAGACCATAGACACTTTTGGTTCAAAGTTGTTCGCATTATTATTATTCTTATTCTTATTATTATTTTATCTAAGTTATTTTTTTCTAAAAGTTCTAACGACTCCAAAGAAAAATGGTTTCTCGTCACAGACATTACTAAGCTTGGTTTATTGAAGGAGAATTTGTCTTTTAGAACTATAAAAAAACCCAAAATCCACATGATAGCCCTTTTCAGATTCATTGGCCATTATATTTTATCTCTAGTCGTCTAATATTTGTCTTTCTCCACTCAACACCACTTTACCAAGTTTTCAGATCCCAAGGGTGCGGTTGCTCACAAGTTTCATCAACTGTCCTTACCTTTGATATCCAAGACATGACATAAAGGAGGAACTCTTTTAAGAATTTTTTTGTCCTCTTCTTTCTTCATCTGCATCGACTAGTGCATATTTTTTGGCGCTATAGTTTTTGCCTACAACCATTTTATTCATAGGGAATTCTTTAATATTAATTGAAAAATATAACACCGCTATTTATTTTTATTTTTATTTTTATTTGAAGCGTCTTGCAACATCAGACCCTTACAATCTCCATTATCAGATTATTATGCACAAAAGTTTTGGTTACTGCAATTATGATTACAACCACATGGCTTTCATTTTGCTTCAGGGAATTCTTGGATATTCATTAAAAGAAATAACACAGCTGTTTATTTTTATGTTATTTACTTTTTTGGGCATCTTGCAACATCAGAACCTTACAAGCTCCATTATCAGCTTATCATGCACAAAAGTTTTGGTTACTGCAATTATGATTACAACCACATAGCTTTCTGTTTGTTTCAGTGGGAACTAGGCTTTCATTGGGAGAATTAGAATAGGTTCCCATCTGCTTTGTTAATGAGAACAAGCACATTAAGGACTTGAGGATTAACATCTTTTTCCACGATATAGGAAACGGCATCAACCAAAGTAACAGTGCCACTAGTTTGCACTATTATCTTTCTAGTAGACCTTTTAAAATATGACCATATGGATATGCATTATCAAATGTCTTCCCCTCTTTCTCTTTTCTTTTAAACTTTTTTATTTTCATTATTTAACACATTAATTTTCATGTAGTATTTGTTCCCTTTCTAGCTAATCATATTCCGGCTGACTTCATAATTGGATCTAATAGTTTCTTTTTTTAGCCATTTAATCAGGATTTATCAAGCCATGATTTGATTTTTCATTTGAACTCACAAAATCAAGGATACGTTATAAATGATATTTGCCGACAAGGTTTTTTCTTTTATGCCAAATCATCTAATAATGTTCAGCACTTTGAAATTACAATTGGTAGATGTATCTACTAAATTTAAAATAGATATCTGTTACAAGAAGAGATTCATAAACCCCTCCAGAAGATTTTCGTTGTACTTACTCAAGTTGAAGGAAATGAAGGATCTCTTCACAAGTATGAACACTTACTTGTGTAAAACCAAAATGGGGTACACTTGGTGCTTAATGTTTCTTTTATTAATATATTAGCAAAAATTTTTACCTTTTTATGGATGAAATATTTACTCAAATATTCAAGCTTGCTGTTTTCATGGTTTCATAAGTCAAACCAGATTTATGATATTATCAATATATCCAGCAATCAAGGTACTTCCTCTAAATTTTTTTTAACATAATCCAAAAGGTATCATTAAAAAGAACTGCTTATAATGGATGTTTACCACTTTAACAGACTTCAGGCAACACAAGCAAAACTAGGGGCTTCTATTGGGGGAGGGATAGAAACAAAGTCATCTCAAAACAAGAAACCCAATGGTACATACAACTGTTTTTTATCCCAAGTGCAAGAGAACTTTAGATGCTGCTAAAAAAAGGAGGAATTTCCAACCTAGTCCTCTCTCTAATAGGATACTAATGAGAGAGAGAGAGAGAGAGAGAGAAGAGAAAGGATACCTCAGAGTCTGAAGCCACCATAACTAACTCCAGAGGACCCAAACCCACCAAGTGATGGAGTCGTCAACGATGATGAAGGGTAAGTGGAGCTTGAATACTGAGAGTATGGCCTCAGACCAGTATCAACTTTTCCATAGCTTCCAGCCAATGGGTCTTCATGAAGAGATAAAAACTTCTGCAACAGAAGCGGAAGAGTGAAAAGGTTTCACCCCACAATCCTAAATCACATCCACCTATGAAAAAGACAGAGTGAGTTCTTAAATATCTCACCTGGATAAGCTGCTGAGCTGAGTGAACCTCTTGAGAAGTGCCCTTGATTTCCACAGTGATCTCATCAGGCCTAACCCTACTCTCCTGAACCGTGAGGACTGCACCGCTTCTTTGGCGTATGTACCCAATATTTGCCCCACCAACACCAATGATGTCCTCCGCATAAGACAGAGGAATTTGCATGGTCTGAGTCATCTGAATTCACAAGAGAATGTGACAAAAAAGTTGCATCAACCAAACAAACCACACCATAAGTAACTAAGATCATTAACCATTTCCTCCTAGTTACCCACAACTCCCCATTTGATGTGTGTGTATGTATGTATTTGTAAGAAGTTTATATAAGGTATGAACCTTATACTTCAAAGGTGAGGTACACCTCAAAAAATCCATCGGAAAAGATTATTCTAATACTGAAAAACCCTCCCGTTGATCATCTCAACCTTGAGATGTATGAATATGAAGGAAAAAAGATTTCAAGTCTTAAATAGTGCAGTTGGTTGTGCATTTCAATATTTTCAAGTGTTCATAAATCTACTCGATCTGTATCATTTTTTGGAGCTTTAAATTTTATATTAAGAATAGAAATAGATTTTTAGGGTCATCGTTAACAATTTCTGGCACCAAAACTGCATCTTCCAGCAGGGTTTGGAGATGAATTTTACTTTGATTATTTAAGGTGGGCACCTTAATAAACTGCACCTCTCACACACACACACACACAAGCCCACCAGTCAATGAAAAAGCATATGCCAAACAACCCAGATTCATGAATCCACACACACACACACAGAAGCCTACCAGTCTATGGAAAAGCATATGCCAAGCAACCCAGATTCAAGAATCCAGAAATGAACAGGTAGCACCGCAGTGATAGAATTTTTTATTTATGAAAAAAGTAGGAGTCCTATGAGTCCCAAAATTTGCACACACGAGTGGCTCATCTAGTAGCTCCAAATAAAAATAAAAAATGGATACACTCAAAAAACGTTGGACAAAATATCTCGTCGTTCTCAACCATCCAGATTACTCCTCTCCAAAATTCGAGACGACTTTGTGGTATAAACCTGTTGGCTGAAATGCATAGCTAAAGTAACTTTATGGGGTAAATTTTGCACATCTTAACTTTGAAAAGTAAACAATTTAAATTCTTGAAGGCCAAGAACCAGCACCGACCAACGTGCGTGTGTGTAATGCAAGAGTGTTATGTAACCACTATATTGTAGTGTAAGCCCCTTTGAAAGATAGTGTCAATTAGACCCAAATTTTGCACACGTGTAGAACCCATTTACATGATTAAATTCGAAATGAAAAAAAAAAAGGAATTTGCAAATAAGGAGGAAAAATGAGTCCCCATTGCTGGGTAACACAGGCTGCCAATTGTTGATGGCGGATCTAGGCCATGCAAAATTTAGCCCAAATCATTACCTCTTGCTATGTGTTTTGGCTCTGGGCCCGTACATGGCTATAAGCCGGTT